ATTCAGGCACTTATATATCTCTAAGTCACTTCCGATTTTTCCTAGAGGTATCTTTATGAACTCAATTAAACTATTTTCCAATGATTAATCAAGTCATAAAGTCATTAAGTTTTCAAACCTTATATGAATGCTTATGCTAACCAAGTATATTCCTATCTCAATTAGAACATTGGATTGTTATCTCCAAGTCATAAGTTGAAGCTAAATGATTCTGAACCTTCTTTACTCTTCCGGGATTCACTTAGTTCTATGCACAATCAATCAAATGGCCAATTTAATCAAGAGGTAGATGAAAGCTTTAACTTCAAAACACAGAATCATCCGAATGCAATCACAAACTTAAACTACATAGGTTCCAGAGAATGAAATCTTATTAACTACACATACAAACTACAGAAAATACAAGAAAAGAAGGAAAGCATTGAGAAGAAGCAAATCTGGATGGCTGAGCAACAGGTCACTCGCCTGAATGACAAAGGTCACTCAGGCGAGTGAGGTCTGTTACTCCTCTTTTTCTGCTACTGGACTTCTTCTTCCTTTGGAGTTTTCTCCCCTCTCCGCTCTCTTCTTCTCTCTCTATGGTGTTTTGTGTGTTGTATGTCCACTCAGATCTCCCTTCATACTGGGAATGCAGCTCCTTTTATAGATCTTTGAAGCGGGTTCTTCTTCCAAGATAGCCTCCCCATGCTTGTGAATTATTTATTCCTCTCAATGCTTTGTGTCTTGAATCTGAGAATTGTTTGGTCTCTTGCTCTTCTTCCAGGAGTGGTATCAGCAACATCATTGATCAATGTGGGTGGTTGGTTCTTCATTGAAAGGGACAAGCATGGTCTTTGGTTTCTATTGTGGGACACCCTTATTAACTCCCAATGTGTCTTGTGTCTTGGAGTTGCTTTTTGACCAACTCAGCCCTCATTTTAAATTGGAATCAGCAGCCCAATTATTTTTCCATAAGCCCCCATTTTCAGCATTTGTTCACTCTGGTTCTCACCTATTTAGAAACACAAAACTAGCTATGTAAAATGAACAAAGTCTAAGAAACACCCCTAATTTCTAACTAATTAAAGAGCAAAATTGCAATGCTTTTATGTAACAATTTAACCGTTATCAATAAATTACAGCCATCTACTCCCTCTTTTGTAGCTCTAATAAACAGTTTTGCAGCCCTGTATCATTTCACCCATGCCTATTTCTTCCTTAGCCTAGAAGGCTTACTTGATGGGTCATGTTTCCTTAGCCTTTAAGCCTCCAAAACTTCCAAAGCTTCGCTTCTTCTCTCGTCCAAATGCAGCCCCCTTTGGATCCTTCCTCTTCTTAGGTATTGCACGTTTGGTCCAATTGAGCATTTTCAATTGTTGCCCAAAATTTTTCCAATTTGTATCAATTTTTACACTTTTTATCTATATTAGCAATTAGGTTCCTTCACCACCAAAAGTCAGAAAACATGATTAGAAACCTGCAATCCTAACTATATACTTTAATTGTACGTAAGAAAGCGGTAAATTAAACATGCTTTTAGATGTATGATCTGACTCTCATCACACTTTCATTTCGTAAAACAACATTTTGCTTCAGAAAACTTTCACTTTCATAAATTCCCGACTTTGCTGTCATAACATTCACATACTAGTTCTATGCCAATCTTGCATCTCTATTTTGCTGATGATCTTTTATTGTTCTCTAGAGGTTTAAAATTTTCATTGGTAGTGTTAAACATGTTTTTTGAAGGCTATGAAGCGGCGTAAGGTGAAAAAGTAAATTAGCAAAAGAGTATTTTTTTTATGTTAAAGAGAATTGTCGGTAAATAGAGTCGCTATAACAAGTACTTTAGGAATGGAACAAAGGTCTTTCCCTTTTGTGTATCTAGGATGTTGATTATTCCATGGAAGGGAAAAGACTGTCACCTTTTAGTTCTTGCTATGTATGTTATAACTGCTATCCCAGTGCATGTTATTTCAGCCATTCCTCCTGCTAAATCCGTTTTGGTAGAACTGAAAAGGCAATGTCAAATATTCTTCTGGCAAGTCACATTTGAGGATGCCAAGGGACACTGGTGTTCATGGGAGAGATTAACCTATTCGGTATTTGCAAATGGTCTTGGGTTCGGAAGATTAAGGATATCATCAATGCTTTTAAGTTAAATTCTGGTAGAAGGTGAATAACCAAAAAGGGATTCAGCCAAACTTTCTGCTATCATTGTTAGAATCAGGAAGGAAAAAGACATCTTGGAAAAGAGTCAACATGATAGATTTTGCGGCTGCTACTCATTCAAAGGTGTTACTCTTTGGAGGTGATCGGAGTGTTTGGCTTGATATGGTCGAGCCTGGGAGTGTTTTGGGATATTTCTCATGAGAGGCCATCTTATGACCATCTCAGTATTCAAGAGTTTTATGAGCAGAAAAAATTCTACTTGTTGGGGTTTAGCGAAAAAATGTCGGCCAATGTGTTGTCAACTTTGATGCAATTTAAGCATAATTTTTTGGATGAACCTGATTTAATTAGATGGCAGCCCAGAGCTTCAGGAAACTTCACAATCAACTCAGCGTATGAAGCATTAAAACCGCAGAAAATGAAGGATGATGCTCTTCGGAAAATTTGGAACAAGATTTTTCCTCTCGAAATATTTTTCCATATGTGAAAATTGCGTAATAACCTGTTACCATTTCAAGAAACTCTTAATATTATTGGCTTATATACCAATCCTTCTATTTGTTTTAAATACAGGTTGTAAGGTGATACAATGTCTCATTAATTTCTTGAATTGTTTAGAGGCTGAAGCAATTGAGTCTTTTTTTCTAATCTTTTTAGGGTTAAGATGTCGACAACAGATGCAATTTGGTCGTTTCTCAAGCAGTGGTGGACGGGTGGAAGTTTCTCCCCAACTTATGCTATAAATAAGAAAAAAAGGGATAATTAGTGTAAAGAATATTAAAAGATGTTGATCTTTTTAACACTAGAACTTGTGCAGTGATATCTTTTCCTTTTTAAATAAAAAGAATATGATGAGTAAAACTCTAATCGATGAGAATTCCATATCCATACGTTCTCGAGGATTTCTCTACATCTTACTTGTCGTGTGGTAATCGAAAATATCCCTAAATCCTCCTATCAAATAAGTTCAAATGTATTTGAATGAATCATCCTATAAATAGATGGTTTATTTGCATGGCCTAAACAAAAAACCAAAATATGGCAAAAATTACAATTCCTTTGTTGGCTCTCATTCTTATGGTAACAAGTGTTTCTAGCACAATACTTCAAGAGTTGTGTAAGGCCACTTCAGATGCAAAATATTGTGTAACATTACTTGAAACAACAGTGAAAGCGTCGACGAATTTCAAATCAAAAGAATGGTAGAAGATGGTCACTGAATGAGCACTGGTAAAAGTCATAATTGCTAATGATTTTGTCATAAAAAAGAGAGACCCCAAAACGGAGACTTAAAAACCATGTACTAACTACCTCCCTCAAGCCATCGATTTGATCGCTAAAGGTAATATTTCACGCACAAACATATGTAGATGATTGTGCTGATTCCTTGGACAACGAGGGTGAAGTTGTGCGTGATGTTAAAAAGTTGGCGGATGAAGGCGCAAAAGCTACAGAAGTCGCAGTTGATATTTTTGGAAATTTTTGAGTTGGACCCAAACGTGAAAAAAAAAGGGTTATAAAAGAATTCTTTTTCTTATATTTTGTCCCATGATCTAAATCATTCTCTCCATGTATTCATAGAATTCGTTTTCTTATATTTTGTCCCATGACCTAAATCATTCTCTCCATGTATTCATATTTAACCTCGGCTAGGTGTTTACATACCAAATCCTAAATAAAGTTACATAATTTTGTAGATTAGAAAGAATATTGTTATTTTTCTCTTTTTGTACCTCCATATATGAGGAGTTCTAGTGTCAAGACATATTTGTTGGCACTTTTATACTAACTAGCTAATTTTTTCACATCGCAGCACGCTGTGAAGTTGAAGTTATGCCTAGTATCATGTTATATATCACAAGAAAATAGACGATCATAAAACTCATTAGCAAAATTAAACTATAATTTTTTTCAATTTGTGAAGTACCAATGTACATGTTCTCAGAAGTATTTTGTGGGAGGGGAACATCTACTGAGAAAAAATCTGAGGGCATCTATGGTCCATGTTGCTCCGGGGGTGAAATAAGTCCACTCTATATGTGCAATTCTCTAAACGCATCCTATTCCAGTATTAGGCTCCAAAAACATTGAATGATAAAAAGAATTTAATGAAACATGTGCGTTAAAGTATTTCGTAAATTAAGCAATTGTAAACTAACAATAATTGCAATATGCAAATGGTTTAAGGGAAAATATTTATACTTTACATGATGTGCATGTATCAAAACCATTACTACTTTAAGAGATCTAGGAGAGTTGGTTTGCACGAAGGATAAAATATGGTATTGATCATCCATCCTGAAGTTATTAAGTAACATAATTTTGAACTCTGTATGAATGAGATTCAACGCAAAAAACTAAAATTACCACACTGTGGCCCCATAATTCATAAACAAACATCATTAAATTCCACCTAAAGTACATTATTACAACAAGAGGAAAAAAGTAGGAACTATATTTGAAATTCCTTTCTCTCTCACCCAAAACGATGCTCTCACACAACCCGCAAAACGGAATTCTGCTTATGAGAAAATACATTGTTGCAGAAATATTAAATCTTGAACATAAAAAGCTCTATCTAAGATCACAATAGAGCCTTCATACTAAGTAAACAATAAGATGCAATTGGCAATTTGTGCAGTACAAAATGAAGATTAAAATTTTGATTACAAGAAAATCTATCCCCGCACTCTCCCATATGGCATAGACTGTTGATCTAGGATAATGAGACCCTTAGTGAAACTCAGAAGCATCCCAAGGCTCGCATATTGCTCCAAATGCTCAGCTGAAGCACTTCTGGCTAAACTATCCGCTACTGCATTCACTTCTCTGAAAATATGGTGTATATTTTAACCCTGTCTTTCCATTATTGCATGAATCTCTTCCACCTCATAGTAAAAGCTCCATGGAAAAGGACCCCCAAGAGCTAAAATGTTTGCCAAAAATTGATTATCCGTTTGGATTTTCGATTGAAACAAATCTAGGTTCTCACACTTCCGAACTCCTATCAAAAGGCCATAAACCTCCACTTGTAGGCTATCTGCTCTACCCAAAAAACCCGCCTCATCATAAACAAAAAAGCCTTTCTCCCCCTGGATTACAAATCCATAGCCCACAGACAAAAGCTTGAAAGAACCATCAGTGTTTAGCACATACTTGTGCTGCCGTTCCAAAGAAACCGCACGCACCCTCTTGCGCTTAAGACCAAAAGTTGTCTTCGGGAAATTCCGCTGAAGAAAGTCCCTCTCTATGACATTGCGAGCCTCAAGCATATGTACTAACATCATATCATCCAACTGTTCCTTTACAGCTCTAATAATGCTTGGAACAGTAGAATCCACCTCTTCAAATAAAAACTTGTTCCGCGCCTTCCATAGTTCCCACACAATAAAGGATGGCAAAACCTTCTTTATGTTTCTAATAGCTATTTTAAAATTCCCTGATAACCACCAAGAATTCAAATATCCACCAAGGCCTTCTCCTTGCGCAACCTGGCCAAAGAGATTAGAGAAAAACCTCCAAACCTTGCAGGCAAATATATAATCAAGGAATTGATGTCGCATAGAATTAGAAGAAGACTTACACTTCTAACAAATTGATGGCTGCAAATATATTCCCATTTTACATAGAGTCTCCAGAAAAAGAAGAAGTGAATTACCAAACTTCTACATAAAGAAAGATATACGTTTTTGACCAAAAAAAAAAAGAAGAAAGATATACATGTAGGAATAAACTTATGCCAAATATTCTGCAAGCTAGGGTTAACAACTTGCCTCCTCCGCAACACTTCATATGCCGAATTGATAGTGAAAACCGTGATAGCAATATCGTAGATTGAGCAAATTTCATTAATGCAACCATCAAACAAGAAATTACGAAGATAATTTGTCTATCTCGTGAAACTCAAAAGAGTGCGGAAAATTCACAATAAGACGATCGTTTATCTAAGGATTTCTATCTCTTAACTCAAACCAAGCAAAGAATACATTATTCATAAAAGATTCGAATTAAATAACAACTCCCACTAATAATAGTAAGGACACCATTCAATATACTCGATCAGTTATCATTCAAGAGACTCAAGAAAGGAAGGAGTAAACAATGCTCAACAATGAAGGAATACTATTGATTAGTAATCTCCATAACCAACAAAGATATTCAACACATACATTATCTCAAAATGCTTATGCCTAAGCACAACTCATCCAACAAAAGTAGGATAAACCCACAAAGGAACTCATGAACACACATATCATGAATTCGAAAACCATAGCCAAAAGAAAGGCTCAACTCTCGAACTACTAGAAATAGTATGAAAATAAGAAGTTTAGTTTTAAAACAGTTCTATCAAGAAGCATACTTGAAAAAGAACGGTTTCTGCAAAATCAAAAGATCCAAGACAAGATGAAAACCCTCTTGGTTAAATCATACTTGACATGAAAAATGGACATACCATTTAACAAAAATTCCTCACAGGAAAAACTCTCATTAGAGACAACAAAAATGACCACCCAAGGGTGCTTTAATTTTCGGCCATCCCCCCCTATCTATAGGCTAACAATTTTGGCCAAGCACCAAAAAAAGAAGACCAACTAGGACTCTCTAATCTTATCTCACGCAGTAATAGAAGTAGAAGAGTATGGATCTCTTTAACTCTATCTAAAATCTAGAAAACCTCACCTAAATTACTTATCCTCAAATAGGATAATACTTAGAAGGAATCTACGACTCCTAATCAAAACACTCAAGTTTAATTCAGTCCACATGACTTATTTAATTAGATAACTTCAAAAATAAAATCCTAGACTAGATAATACTATAATTCTCGAAAATCAACTCCAAATATTGAAGTAAAATATCTTGAACGCCCTTCCAAAAGTGGAATATTGGTCTTGCCCCCCTCAAGTTGTAGATAACTCCAATTTACTCGAAAACATGTAGAATTCTCTTTATTGACTCCAAAAGATTGGAAAAACACTTGAAACAATTGAGATAGTTTGCAACCTATCCAATTGTGTAGCAATGGACTCAATCTTGAACAGTTTGATCACTTAGGCCGTCCATTCAAGAACCTAAATGACTCTTCTCTCTAGCTTGATCAATGATCTTCATGGAGCACCTAGAGTCAAATTCCTTTGATACTCTTGAGCACTTATTACCATGAGTGAATCAACTCCTTCGGTTTGAACCCAAAGTTAATGACATTCTTATCATCTTGATCATAGCTTTCTTGAACCAACTCCCTATCACACAGGTAGTCAAGATCCATCCTTTCTTTCTTGATTGGCCTGCAAAGAAAACTTGGCATCCCAAAACTAGAATGAAGGACTAGCTCATTCCCCTCACTGGAGAACCTCCACGGAAGGCTACATGATTCTCATCAAACCCCCAATGGAGTTGGCTTCCAAACCAATCTGTCCTCTCCTTCCATGAAATTTAAATCCATGTCTTCCAAGGTTTGATGTACATTAGCATTTAAACGATTCTGAAACTCTGATAAACAAAACTGCTTCATTGGAAAAAATTCTCGGATTGTAGTTGATGGCAGTGGAGGATCCTCACCGTGGATGTCCCATATGCGCCCCAAGTTTGACCATTGATCATACCAAAAACTACTATCACCGCTACGCACCAAAATCCTCGAATGACATGTTGCAAAAGGATCAATTCCAACAACCCGGCTACAAGATGTCCTTCTCCTTGCTGATCACGACAACGAGAGCACAAATTTTGCCCAAATGCCTTGCTTATTTTTGATCTTCCATCATATTTTAAGAGAGAAAGCTCTTAAGAATTTATCGAAATCTCGCAACCCCACCCTGTTTTCCACCACCGGAAAGGTAAGCCAACTCCACGACCTCCAATGTTTTTTCCCATCACCTTCAATTCCTTCCCAAAGAAAACATTGGCATCGCTGAGCAATGGTATTTAGCATTTATTTTTGAGGCTCTATAGCTGCAAAAACATGTAATGGAATGGCCGACAAAATATGTTTAATTAAAACAAGCTTCCCACCTCGGCTAAGGAACTTATTCTTCCAATTCGACAATTTGGACTCCAATGCATCAAGAATAAACTGAAAAGTTGCTGCATACCCAAACACCGAATGATGGTTTTGACTTGAGAAAAATGGCAGCCCTCAGCAACATAGAAGTTATTTTTTTCTCGATTCACTTTCTGCCCCAAAGCCACTTCATAATCCACAAAAAATTTATTAATTCCACCAAGGATGTTTGCAGCCCCTGGGTAAAAACAATGAGGTCATCTGCAAAACAAAGATGTGAAACATAGTTAGAACCCGTTGGAGTACCAAATCGAGCAATCCTTCTATGTGCCATCAAATAATTCAGCCTTCGGGACATAGCTTCTGAGACAAGTATAAACAAAAAGGGGAAGTGAGGGTCACCTTGCTTGATGCCTCTACTTGCCTTAAAGAAACCTGCTGGATTACCATTTACCAAAACCGAAAACAAACTATTTTGAAGGTTATTCAAAATTTGAGAAACAAAAAGTGGAGGAAAGCCAAACCTCAATAAAACTGCATTTAGAAAACTCCATGAAATGCAGTCAAAGGCCTTCATCATGTCAACCTTCAAGATCACATTATTGCCAACAGCTTTATGTTTTAGGAATAGACACAAGTCTTGGGTAAGCATGATATTACCATTAATGTCTCGACCTGCCATAAAGGCATATTGCTTCTCCAAGATAAGCCTAGGGAGCACCATCTTCAACCTCTCCGTAAGAACTTTTGTAAAAATCTTGTTGCCAAAAATACACAAACTTATCAGCCTAAAATCCAAAAAGTTGTGATTGAGGACTTCTTAGGTATTAGAGCAACAAGAGTGCTTCCAATTACTCTTGGAATTGGAACCCCTAGCATAAACTCCTTGCAAGCATTAAGAAGGTCCGTGGCTATAATATCCCAGCAAGCTCTATAAAAAGAGCCCCCAAACCCATCCGCTCCCAGAGGACTACACACATCAAGATTATCAACCGCTTGCTTCACCTCCTCCATGGTTATTTCCTTCAAAAGAAATTTATGATCATCATGGCAAAGAATCAAAGGGATACACTGCAAGAAACTTTCTTGAACATCGGCCCGGGGCAGTGTATTTTCCTCCTTCCAAAGGCATTCAAAAAATTTAACTGCTTGCGCTTCAATAGCCATCCTTTCAGTTAGCCATTCCCCTTCATCATTTTGAATTTTATGTATAGTCATTTTAGCTCGCTTCTCAGTAAGAGAAGCATGGAAAAAAGAGGAGTTACAATCTCCTTCCTTTAACCACTTCAAACTCATTTTTTGCCTCCAAAACTCCTCATTTTCCTTGAGCTTCAGCAACAAATTTGCACGAGCTAGACCAAGCTGAATTCTATCCCCCTCAGAGTTGGTTTCATCATACTTCATTTCTAGCTCCTGAACATGTTTCTCCACAGCATTTAAATTATCAAAAACATTCCCAAAAACCACTTTGTTCCATTCCTTGAGCTTCACTTTAAGACGGTGCAATTTCAAAGAAAACCCTAGCATGCCAAAGCTATTACTTGGCTTATTCCAATCCTCTTTCACCACATTCAGAAAATCAACCCTTCTCCACAACATATTTTGGAAGCGAAAAGATCCAGAATGCTGGCCCATAGAAGAATTAAATTGAAGCAACATAGGACAATGATAACATGTAGTACGATTGAGAGTTTCCACCAAAGCAACTGGAAAGTTATTTAGTCACTCTTGAGAAAAGAGAATACGGTCCAATTTTTCGCTTACCCATCCCGTACGTCTTGTTCCTCCCCATGCGAAATCTTCCCCTACAGTTAGCAATTCCGTAAGAGATACATCTTCAATAAACTCATTAAAATCCACAATCGCCGGTTGATCTTGGACTCAGATTCCTGAATACTCTTCTAGCGTCCGTATGATGTTAAAATCACCCCCTACCATTTATGAAGCTTTGGGATTCTGCTGCCGAAACTCCTTCAATTCAACCCATAAATCTCTTCTAGCAACCCAAGTTGATTTTGCATGGATAGCGGAAACCAAAAATGCGAAGTTCATAGATTGATGCGCAACCTCCAAATGCGAAGCTTGCTCCGATCCTCCAAGCAATGTCATCCTAATATCTTTCTTACCGAAGACTCAAATTTTGCTGGATGTAGAAGAAAAAGCACAATCAAAGTTAAGCTGCAACTTTATTTCATCTAACTTATTATATGGTAGCATAGGCTCCAAGAACAAGGAACGAAACTTTGTAAATTTTGATCAAAGACGTCAAACGCCTAAATGACGCTCCATTTTTAGCTCCCCGAATATTCCATATGATGTAACTTATCATCATAACTTTATTGAAAAAGCTGATAAATATTATTCATTGCAAGCGGGCAGAGCGCCGAAGCTCCATACCCTCATTCATTTTGGCCCTTTCCTCTTTTGATTTCCTTCCCCGCTTCCTTTTCACTGTAATTATTTCACCAATTTCTGATCTTTCCACATGAGCATCGTCCATTTCACCTTCTGACCAGTAGAACTCCTCCTCCGTTTCATCTTCATCTTCCTCTTCTCGAGTGTTTTTGGTAAAGGAATCATCGCGAGATTTCTCCATTACTAGCTTCGGAGTAAGCGACATTTGCTGTAAATCAACTTCAGGCAGCATCTCTTGTGGTCTCTGACTCAGGTCCGCATTTTCCTCTGAGAACACAACCTCCACATCATCAAAATCTTCTCTCAATGCAGCATCATCATCATCCAAATTCTGAAGCGTGCTGAATCGGTTTGATGGTTGCATTGATGCGACAACCTTCATTGATCCAACCGCCTCTTTTTGGGGATTTCAGTCTCAGTTCTTCCTCTGCAAGGGACAGAGTCTTCATGTAAATCAACTGGAATGAGAGCCTTTTCTTTAATCGATAGACCTGACGACGATGCTAGTACTCGCAGCGCTAGGGTTTCCGCAGGGTGCAACGACGGGTCTTGAAGCTCCATTGATTTCACAATCAAGGGGTTTGTTTGCAGAATTTCCACCTCCAGATCCAGTTTTTCTGCTCTATCTTCACCACCTTTAGGCTGCTGTTTCCATCTCGGCTTTGCACGCGGAATTTTAATTCCTTTCTTCTTCGGGTCAGAATCATCATTCTTGCGCGCGACCTCAACCTTTTGCCCATCATCTCGATTTTTCTGTGGAGGCTTCCCAACTCGACAATGCACTTCCTTGTGCCCTATCTTACAACACTTTTTGCAGTAGAAAGGGACGTGCTCAAATGTAAATATCAGCTCATGTTTATGGCCCTTCTTCCATATCTTGACCGATTTTTCGAGTTCCTTAGTGAGATCGACCTCTAAACAAAAACGAGCCACTGAAGGTCTCGTCATATTCAAGGTTAGAGTATCCACATTCAACGGCTTACCCAAAGCCATAGCCATTGAGAAGATTACCGCTGGATGCATGTATTCAATCGGCAAATCAAAAAGGGAAACCCAAATTGGAACCACCGGAGGATCTTAATCAAACCGAAAGCCTGGCGTCCACTTCAAAATTCTCATCAAAAAGCCACCAATATTCCAAAAGGTCCTTATCCAATATCTTTGATAATCATCCTCCTGCTCAAATCGGATTAAGAGTGCCTAGGATTTATGAGCCCCAAGGTGTATGCACCATTGAAACCTATTTTCTTGAACTCATTATGGATTTCATCCATTTTTTGCCGGCCATATGAGAACTTTCTGACCAAACATAGTCGGTGTGGCACAACCAACTTCGCAAACTCCTCATCTTCATACTCCATTGTTAGAGTCCCATTAATAAATTTAACCTGCTTAATAAGAGAATCTTTGTTGACCACTACATCAAGCGCTTTTTGGAAGAAACTTGCAAATCTTCTTGGTGGCTCAAGGGGAGCCGCCGGTGGTAGGCTGCCGGCCATAGTGGCTGAGTAACATAGGCTGTCGTTGCTGCTAGGGTTTGGGTTGAGAGAACCAGAGATATTTTCAAAAGAATGATTAAAAAGTTTTTTTCAATATTAAAATGTTCGCTCCGTATTCAGGTCGTTTAAATTTATTTCCTCAAAATGAATTTGCAATAAAAGCTAGATTTTATAATTGTTGCCAAAAGATTAAAAAAAAAAAAAAAACAGATTTTACAATATTTTCACAAAATTCAGGGGATGAATAAATAGATATTTGATTGTTACTAATTAAAAGTGGTGGGAATTTAACTAAAAACCATTACGACCGGCACAACCCGCAGATAAGGAGTGGTTATGTTCAAAAATAAGATACCGATCTCTCCTACTGGTTATTCATTCTTTCTTAAATCTTAGTTATTACTTTTTGAATTCAAGTTTAACTAATGGGAGATGATTCTGCCAAAACAATAAATAACATCCAAGGCAAAACTAACTTTTCTTTCCAAAAACACCTCTATGAAAGTTGTTTTCCTCCTCCACTGACAATAATCAATACAACAAGTCCACAACACAAGATTAATACGACAAGTCCACAACACAAGTCAATAATGGAATTAAATCAAAGAGCTTACCCACCCAATCAATCTTTATTGTTGACTTTTGTTTTAGAAGATAAAAACATCAATTTTGCCCAAAAATTGATGCTTAATCATAGAAAAAAAGTAACAGGATGTTATTTAGCGAGTATTAGTTATCTCTCTCTAAAATTTTTTTCTCCAGCCTCTCTCTAAAAAACCCTAAAATAGTCCGAACAATCATGGCGGCGGCCTCATGCCCGCCAGATGAACACCGGCCAAATCCCCCCTCCTTTGCACAAATCCTTAACGTAACAAAGGCAAATCCTCTCTTTTTAAAACGGTCTCCTTTTATCATTCAGAGAAGCTCCTTTCATCACCTCAAAACCGTCTCTTTTTAAAGGAGAGCCAGTGTTCCTTCGATCAAAAGAGGACAATGACAAACTTGCGGCTCCTTTTCAATATTCTCTTATTGGAAAATTCTCAAAGGGGAGACCAAAGATGGACTTCTTATGGCACAATTTCCGTACAATTGTTCAAAAGAAATTATTCGCTTGGCATGATAGACCACAGAGATATTCACATCCATTTTAATTTGGAGGAAGATTTCCATCACTGCTGGATGAAGGGACTATGGTCTTTTGATCAACACATCATGCGTGTTTTGAAGTGGACTCCACATTTCAATCCGGAGCATGATTCGTCTATAGTACAAATCTGGGTTGCGTTCGAAGGACTGGCAATTCATAGATTTAACGAAGAATATCTCCGAATGTTGGCTGGTATCATCGGCACTCCACTTAAAATTGATGTCCCAACCCTAAATTTATCAAGGCCCTCTATAGCACGACTGTGTGCGGAAGTTGATTTGCTTCATGATCTTCCAAAGCGGATTCGTCTCCGAACAGAAGAACACTCTTATTTTCAAATAGTGACATACGAGAATCTGCCTGATTAATGACTCGAGTGCAAGAAAGTCAGCCACTCGGCTAAAGACTGCTGTCACGGAAAATCTAAGGCTCCAACGAAGGAGAAGCCAAAGACAATACTGACCAAGCAAACTAAGCAAGCCTCAACAACGACTACCAGCACTAACGTATGGAAATTAAAAGAAAAAACATTGGCAGAGCCAGCAAAGCAAGAAGAAGTTGGGAGCAAACCGTCCTCATCAGGATTAAATGAGAAGGATAAGGAGCGGATTCCAATTGATGTGGAAGATAAAAGCACGTCGACTCATCTAATTTCTTCAGCAGACAGGAAGATCTCCAAGCAGCAATTAACTGCCATAATCGAAAATAAAATGGAACGGAGGAATGTAGCTGGGAAATGGATGATGCAGGAAAATTTTCAAAATCTCAGGACATCGAATGTAAACAGCTTGCTGTTTTTGTTCCTCAGATAAATTTATCTTCTTGTTTTGACGTTTGGGCAGCCATAACCGAAGATCAGGCGATTGATACTACAAACAGTGATAAAGGGGACCCAAACACAGTGAGCAATGATGATGATGACACCTCCTCAGAATAAGATGAGATTCAAATTGAAGCACTGGCAGGCCGAGAAAAGGAACAAGCCGCAGCTTCTAAATATGCGCAAGACGACATTTTATTTAGCAATCAGTCTGGAAATTTTGATTTACATGTTATGCGAGTGGTGGTATCTAATGATGAAAGCAAGAGGAAGAAGCTAGGTCGGCCAAAGGGATCGAGTAAGGATAAGAAAATCAAAGGTTCGAAAAATCGAAAATCGTCAAGACTCAACGGTGAATCTTCTCATAATGTTTCCAAAGATTAATTAGCTTGTACGGAATATTCGTGGTATTGGGAATAAGGCGTCTCTTCTCCGTCTCAAGAAGTTTATTGCAATGCATTCTATTTCTTTTCTCATAATTTTAGAGCCTATGTTGCCATCATCTCAAATAGAGGATCTGAAAAATAAACTCAGCTTTAAAGAAGCATTCTCATCCGATTCAGGAAAGGTTTGGGTTCTTTGTTCTCATGAATGATCTTCTCGGTTATTGGGACGATCTGATCAGGTACTACATCTTGAAGTGGAAAGTCAGAAAACATCTAAAAAGGTTCTAGTGTCGCCATTGTATGCGAAATCTACAAGGCCGGAAAGACAATTGCTATGGGCGGAATTGCAAGCTTATTCTGATCAAATTATGGGCATGCCGTGGATGATTGGAGGCGATTATAATGTGATTCACAGCTTGGACGAATATAAAGGAAACTCATAGCCGAAACAAGGTTCAATTGATGATTTTAATTCTTGGATTAATGGCAGTAGACTACTTGAGGTTACTCCCTTGGGCAATCTTTTCACATGGACAGGAAATCGGCAAAATGGCTGGGTTTTAAAACGGCTAGATAGAATTTTGTTTAATCAGGAATGGTTGGATTCCTTCCCTTGTCTTCAGTTCATCATCTAAACAGGTGAACATCGGATCATGCTCCTTTATTGCACCAATTCAGGGTGGAAATTGAAACAAGACAGAGTGTTTTTCGTTTTAAAAAAATGTTGATGCGACGGGACAATTTTCTGGACGTTGTTAATGAAAATTGGGAGCAACCACTTGAGGATTCCAGCATGTTGAGGTTTTCTTTGAAGCTTCGCCGCTTGAAAATCCCCCTGAAGGAACGGAATAAAACCATTTTTCGAGACGTGTTTCAGAATATAAAACAGGCTGAAGAAGCTGTTCGAATTAAGGAGTTGGGAGTTGATAACACTGAATCTTAAGAGGCCAGGATTGAAATGACTCGCTTGCAAGCTCACTTGCTACTTATGTTGTGGGAACATGATTATTTTTACAGTAATGGGCGAAGTTAAAATGGCTACGGGAGGGCGATGCAAATACCAAATACTTTCATGCTTCTCTGATTGAAAAGAAAACCCATCTAGGGATTCATAAGATAAGAGGTCAGGATGGTTCATGGATTTTTCTTCGATAAATTTTATCGAAGTTTGGCTTTCATCAAAACTTTGTCAAGTTGGTAATGCTCAATATAACACGAAGCTGGTTTTCTCTATTTATGAATGGAAGTCCGATTGGCTTTTTTCAAGCTTCTTGGGGAATAAAGCAAGGAGACCCTCTCTCGCCTTATCTCTTCATCTTGCTTTTGGAAGCCCTAACTCGCAACATAAACAAGCTGACAGAAATGTGGAAGAATTGCATTGTATGGTATGCCGTCCAGAATAGTTGTACCAACTCATTTGTGTTTTGCGGATGATCTAATAATCTTTAAGAAAGACCTGAAGAGTTCTATGCGGCAGTTGATGGTATTTTTCCAAGAATATGAAGATGCTACAGGGCAAAAAATGAATAAACATAAGAGTACTTATTTAGTCTCGGATAAGAGCGGGGTTGAGCATAATTCATTGATCGAGGATACTCTACAAATGCAAAAAGGTGAATTTTCCTTTCATGTATTTGGGATGCAAGCTATTTAAAGGAAGGAAAAAAGTAGAGTACTTTCATCACTTGACAGAAGCGATTGATACTAAGTTGCTAGAAAACTCATTTTTTGTCGCTAGGAGGAAAGCTTCTACTTATCAAGCATGTTTTATCTTCGATTCCACTACATACTATAGCAGCTATTGCACCCCCTAAAACTGTCATTCAATACATTGAACAGAAATGTCAAAAAAAAATTTTTTTGGGGGAGGTGAACGAAGAAGGAAGGAAAAGGCATTGGCGTGCCTGTTGTTAGAAATATAGTTATTTATAGGTGTGAATGAGAAATATGTTTCTCATATAATTGGAATTAGAGTCTAAGCTAATTGTTGCTTGACTCGTGCGTATGTGTAACCTACGCACACGAATGTCAAACTGTAATTCGCGGACCTGATCAACCCGTGTCTTTCAATCGGTTAGGAACTTCCAATGCAATATTTAGAGAGGTTATGACCGGCATTAAAAGGGTGATTATTCTCATCAGTTTTTTTCATGAATTGGTGAATAATGAAAATAATAAGTTGACCATTTTTATGACGTTTAATGTGGATTAAATTTGTTGTAATTAATTAATTTAATTTGACAAATAAATCCAACGGTTTAGTAACCTTTCTTTGGTACCTATAAGTGAGAGAAAATATCCATGAGTTCTATAACCAAGAAAAATGACCCATCTTTATCGATTCTTCCACATGCCAAAATCCTCCTAACCTTCCTTGGTGTTCATCAAAGTTTTAGTTCCAGTTTGTCGATGAGTCTAAGTGCAACACTAGATCATGTTCTCCGGTGTATCCTGGGAAATAGAAGCTCTTCCATCCTCTAGCACTCCGTGAGAGGGAGCAAATCTGTTTTAAGGAAAATGTGTTTTCACGTGCCTCGGAATTTCTTCTTCCTTGAATTCTTGTTGTCATTACAAATATCTCACTATACACTTTTAACAACAATCTTAAAACAGATCTGATAGATTTGTAAAGCCAAAGGAAATGTCG